TCTATACAAAACATGAGAACGGAACAGTTAATGCGGATTATGCTGTAAATATGAACGCTGGCAATCATTTACAGAGTTGAAGCTGAAGCAATGACAGTATTTGCACACAGTGGGACATTTTCCCAGGTTCAGTGATTGGATCCAGACGCAGAGAACAGAAAAGTTGTCAATAATATAGGACATAATAGTTACAATGTGGAGATCTTTCAGTGAGTTGGGTCAGCTGTGGATGAGTCTGTTGGAATGCATTAGATTTCCACTGGAGCCTGGGGATTGGACGCAGAGAAGACAAGAGTTTTTAGACTAAAAAATGGGTCCACGCTCAAAACCTGTCTTTTAAAAGGAGCAGTATGTAAAAATCTGGCCAAAAGTGGTACTGCAACCTCTCCACTCTCTCTGACTCAGGTTGCCAGATGTGCAGACGAATCCAGCTGGATCATGAAATCTGAATATAAAAGAATTTTGTCAACAACAAATTTATAACCAACACCTTTTTCACAAAGACTCCAATAGAAAATCCTCGTTTTATTTGCTTGTTTTGTCGTTAATGATTTGAGAATCATAACAAAACCTTTTCTTATTCTGTGGCCTGACATGTAACTTTACCAGTGAGATTAGCTCGATGCAGTGAGTTCTGGCAACTCGGATCACAGACTTTCTGATCGGTGAAACGGTGAAGGGCGGGACATCAAAATGAAAACAAGATTTAGGGGCTGTAACACTAATTTTGTAATTGGAATATCTTGGCTAAACTCCTGTTATTAGTTAAAGAAGTATAAGAAAAGAGAAAGTTTTATTAATTCCTTTTGACAGATTAGGGCTATTTAATAATCTTTTATATTGCTACTACCTTTGCTATGAAAATATGGGTTCCAACATAATAATGAAATTATATACCATCAGGTCATTGAAGCAGAAAGGATGAGTTTTAGATCATACAAAAAGTTTACATATGGTTTTGGAACACAATTATGTGCTTTTCGTTAATTCAACGGATTGTCTTGCAAGTCTGTCTACATGTTTTGGAGGTCTCTGAATCGCAAATGTTCCCAAACCATGGATCAGAAATAGGAAAAATAACTTTACCCCAACACAAAGTAGTCAAGTTAAATTCTGAGAACAAATCAAACCACAGCATGCTTCTGTTATCTTATCTTTTGCATACTTCATACTTTCTTTTGCATCAGAAAGTATGCATCCCTAACCCTGAACAAGGCATGTCCAAACAGAGGCCTGAGGTCCAATTGCGGCCCACTGTCATTCTAAATGGCCCTATACCTTGCTATCCCAAATACCAGATTATAAACAAGTTCATAGTGTTATTGTGCCAACTTCTGCTCCTCATACAGGCATGTTTTACCTCATTGTAAAGCTCAGAGCCTTTTCAATCCATTTATTTGTAAGAATTGACATTTGTTTTTCATTATGGCTACTCAATCTTACAGAAAGAGTGTCCACACTTTTAACTAACGCCTATTTGACACTGATTGGCCGTTTGCCATTTCTCAGTCTTAAAATGTGACGGAAGCCAAAAATACATGCATGTTTTGAGCGTGAGAAACTATTTAGTTGGATACACTTGATTAAGTAGTTACGTGTGGGTTGAAAATCGGGTACCCCAGCTTTAAGAAGTTAGTCTCTTGTCCTCTGTGCAGCAGGCCCGACTCCAGTGTTTGGTTCTGATTGAAGACTCACCCACTTGTGATCCTCTGATCCCCCATCACTCACTTTTACCGTTTCAACGAACACACCGCCGCCATTCATAAACCTATAGGGCTGCACAATATATCGAAATATATTTATTATTTTTTATATGGCAAATAAAAAGTGGTGAAGCTAACAAATACAATGTGCTGGGCTGGTACAGGAAGTGAATGCATGGATTTGTGTAGCAGTGAAAAAGGGGCTAAAGAATGACTGTTTTGTTGACGTTTTAAAATGTGTGCAGAAATATTTGTGTAGTAACTGTGTGTTTGTGTATTGAACTGTCATTGTACATATACTGTACATATATAGCATTGTGCAGCCCCACCACACGGCCTTCTCGTCACAGTGCATTTGGTCCACACACTTCCTCACTCTCAATGGAATCATGTTTGGCCTGGAATGGGGAATGAAAAACAATCGCAATTTGTTTTTCTGTTTTTTAAGGATCTGGTAAAAAGGGACGCTCGTCTTAAATTACCTGAGGATATAGACTCGTGATTGAAATACCTGATGCAAGACACTGGGCAACTACCAAGCCACCACTTTGCGTTGCTTTACCTAAACGTGTTTGCCTTTTGGAGGTGGGGTTTAGACGACTGGCCACAAAGAGGAAGTCACAACAACAACTGGTTTGGAACAAAAACAATAAAAATGTGCGACCAAAATGCTAAGCAAATCCAAATAGTTATAAAATGTACTCAGCTGTTCCCAAAGCCTCCCCTCTACCAATGGACTATTTTCTGGATAAATACAGAAGGAGAAAGGAGAAAAACAAGGAGAAAAAATGTCCGAGGCACTCTGACTTAAAATTAAAATCCTTTATTATTGTAGGTACTTCGTTCAGATTTTTAATTTAAGTCGGTGCTTAAAATCTAGTATTAATGTTGTAATTCTTCATCCCAATAGGTTGCGTCCATATTCTAGAACTGCATTTCATTTTGGGAGGAAAGGTGCCAAAATCACTCAAAGTCCTTTCTACTGGACAACATGAAAAAGATTTTGAATATTGTCATTACTTCTTGACTCCTTTTTGTGAGAAATGAAATTAGACCATAGTCGTCATGAGCAGACAAAGAAGATGTGGAACGTTGAGAGATTTTGATTCCCGTGGATTGGCCTCATTGGATTGGATTGGTTCATGTGGATTGGCCCAGGAATGACAGACTTTAACTCAAAATGAAGCTTGCTGAACCACAATTATGTTTCAGCTTCCCTCCACCACATGTCAAACTATAGGCTCTATGGAATGTTGTGATGTCACATGAATGCAACCTTTTTTCTTGTTGGTCTAACTTTGAAAAGCACTGATCTATTCTGTTTGGTTAGATTTGTTAACATTTTGGAACGTAAGTGTTTGTATGTGGGAGGCGTCTGAATTCAAATCATTTTGGATGTTTTTAATCTCCTCCGACAGTTCCGTTGTTGTTGTAACTTTCCCTTCTTGCCGCCGTGACACATAGCCTGGATTGGGTAAGCATGATCCTGAACAGTACAGCCCGTCACACAGCAATACGCAGTCTAGGATCTTTTTCAAACAAGCATTTTGTTTCTTTTCATAGATATTTTTATATATATATATTTATACATGTGTGTCTATATATATATAATATGTTCAAAGAGCTTATTCATACTGTGAATGTTGAAACAGAACACAACACATAAGGTAATTGCAGAAATATACTACCAGTCGATGCATGCCCCCCCTGCTCGTATCCATATAGTGCTCGGCTGCGCCCCCTAGTGGTCTTCCCTGGTCAGGATGGCGAAGTGACCAGTCTGTTGTGGTGAGTGTGGTTAGACGTAGGCCGTGTCCGAATGTCCACTCTCATCCCGAGCCTCACTAGTAAGACTATAAAGTACACTCAGTCCTAAAGTAATTAGGGCTTTCTGCTTTACTTCTATAATAAATGATCATCTTTAAACCTGGGGTAGTGACCAGGGGTCTCAAACTCAATTCAACTGGGGGCTGCACGAGGTGGAGTATGGGTGAAGCTGGGGGGTAAAGCATAAGGGGTATATTTATCACGTGTTTGTGTGTGTGCAAACATAAATATGGACATTGGAGCACTAACAAGACAAAGTAAAGTAAGTTGAGCACACGCAGTTTAGCTCCTGGATTCATAGATGTATAATACACCCCTACGTTTAAACTGTCTCTCTCCTTTTATCATTTAAGAATTAAAAGATCAGAGTAAATGTTTGCAGAGACAAAAACAGAGAATGCCAAAACCAAGAATCAAGCGCCTTTGGAATGTTTGTTTAGAACTCATAATTTGCATCTGTGACTTTTTATAATGAAGGTCTTCGGATCAAATAATCAGTGGCATTGTATATATGAGTAGCTATACATTTTAAATGTTTCTACAACATGAGTAGAGTTGCTTGGATAGAAACAAAACTGGTCCAATGGCTGGATAATGTTTAAGTGATTGTCTTCTTGATGAAAATAGATTTATGTAAAACATGCCATGATAGCCGCACTGGCATTAACTTTTGATGTCCACTAGGGGGCAATAGATTCCTTTTGGGGAGCCGCATGTTAGAGACCCCTCTGGTGAGCAGGTCATGGCTTCATCTTATCAGAAAACATGTTGTCTTAAGCACACCTTTCTGTCTGAAAACGTACGGTATCAATTTGAAATAGAAATAAAAAAAGGGAAATCTAAAAGAAATCTAAACTGAGCAGTCTGATTCCTCTGATTGTTTAAAAATCATACAATGTCACATTCTCTCTGAAAATCAAGAAAGCAAAATCCCTCAGTACCTTCAGGAGGAGACTCTTTCAATCAGAGAACCATTTTGAGAATAAAGATTTAAACCTTGAATACTACCTGACTTTTTATAAGAGCTTATATGTTTTATTTGTGTTCAGTAACATAGTGTTTTTAAAGAAATATCAAATCAAACGCTTCCTCCAGTTCGAGCTCTCAAGATGATTGTAGAAGCGATATTATTAATTCCTAGTTCTTTTTTGTCAATTATTTCATTTAAGAAAGACTTGTTAACAAACACAGTACACAGTATGAAAACGTGCATCATTCGCTCTTAAAATTGAGTGAATGAAAGACAAATAAAATCCTGGTGCGTCCCTCGCTTCCCCTGCTGGACATTCGGACACGCCCCTTAAAGACGGCGTTGCCCTCGTTCCGGACACTACGCAAGAATCTGAGTGAAAGTTTGGGACACAGCCATAGTTGCTACGTCATGCAGAGATGGCGGGTTTTGTCTGGGGCCAAAAGAAAAAGATGGTTGCAAGTCAAGTCAGTGGTTTTGGAGGCTTTGGTTTTCGTGGCCTAGCTGACGGCGGCGTCCTCTGTCTGGGGGGCTTCAGTCTCTGTGGGGCCCTCGTCCGTGCTGGTGCTGGTGGACACCTGTGTGGGCGGCCCGTGCAGAGCCGCGCTGGGGGGCAGGGGCAGCGAGCCGGGCAGTTTGACCGGGCAGAAGGCCGAACCCGTGGGGATGAAGTTGACCTTGTTCTTGTCGGGGCAGGAGAAGAGGGGAGCGGAGGCTGAGGCCGACTGTCTGGAGCTGCACAGAAGAGGACAGAGAGTAGCTATGGTCAGGACGGGTCAGGGAATCGTGTAAACAGCTGCATGGATCGTTTGAACCACACACAGACTCAAACATTCAATTCAATTTATGTTTGTATAGTCCTAAATCACGACTGTAGTTTTCTTGGAGGACTAAACAAAACCATTGAATCGCCAACACAGATCGGAGAATCAAACCGTTCCAACATAAGAAATGCAATGATTAAAAAACACACACAGATTCATAAGGGGTAGATGACCATATTCATAAATGTCTCCCCAATGTCTGCCCATGTTTAGTCGTAACTCTGAGGACCAGCAGGAGGCCAGTCCCTGTGCTCCTCAGAGTCCCTGCAGGAGGCCAGTCCAAGTTGGTTCATATGGCACTAACATGTATCAGATGTACTTTGGTGCGAGGCCATGGAGATATAGTCTATTCACTACTCGCCAGAGGAAGCTATTATCCAATAATCAAAAGAATAATCACACAACTGGTCAGTTTTCAAAATACATGCACAGCCCAACCTTTGACCTCTTCACACACTGACAGAGTAAAGTCATTTTAAGGGTACTTCATGAGTGGAACAAGTATAAGACCACACCTCTCCTCGTAGGCTTTGACCTTTTCGCAGCCCTCCGGAGGTTCCCTCTTGAACATGTAGCTGTTGTTTGGTTTGGGTGATGATGCAAACTTGGGCAGAGGTGAACTACTTCCACTGTCTGTCCAAAACAACACATAAAGCAGAAGACGACAGTTTACTGAAAGTGCTACAGAGAGAAAAGACACATATCAGACCCTTGTAAAAAACACCCGTAAAATACTAAACACTGGAGGAGTTGGAGGGAGTGTGTGTGGAGAGGTGAGTCTCTGCTCTGACTGAGGATTAAACATTTAAACAAATATCTCATTGTATTTGTTGCGTTAGGGTTATAATGTTTGTTATAAGATTTGGATTCTGGAAGTGGACAATTAAACATGTACTGGAGCAGTGACAATTGTATCCAAGCCCTGAACAGTACATAGTTCTTTTGTGGCACCAACTGCATGTTAAAGCCAGATTCCCTCTGACCTCTGAAGCCAAGCAAAGCAGGGCCTGGTTAGTACTGTGATGGGAGACCTCTGGGGACAGTAAATGCCACAGTTAAATTCCTGCATAAACTTTGGGCCATCCTTATAATTTCACTAAATCACATAAAGCCTCTATTTCTTATCCATTTAAGTTATTGAGAAATTAAGATGTCAAAATTGATTCCAGCCTGAGTCCAGCCTGAGTCCCGCCTGAGTCCCGCCTGAGTCCCGCCTAAGTCCAGCCTGAGTCCCGCCTGAGTCCAGCCTGAGTCCAGCCTGAGTCCAGCCTGAGTCCCGCCTGAGTCCCGCCTGAGTCCAGCCTGAGTCCCGCCTGAGTCCCGCCTGAGTCCAGCCTGAGTCCAGCCTGAGTCCAGCCTGAGTCCAGCCTGAGTCCAGCCTGAGTCCCGCCTGAGTCCCGCCTGAGTCCAGCCTGAGTCCAGCCTGAGTCCCGCCTGAGTCCAGCCTGAGTCCAGCCTTAGTCCAGCCTTTGGCTTGTTGTGACTTTTCCCCAGTTGAGTCGATGCTCAGACTTTCCTGTAGAGCTGTTTACAAATAATACTTTTTTTTTTCTCTTTTTTTTTCAGTAATCTCCAACCCAATTCATGAATTATTAAGTGCTTTATTCCCGGCCAAAAACACATATCTCGCTTTAGTTTTAAAATAGTCTTGTCTGTAAAGATTATTTGAACAATCAATAGAATAGAATGATGATTGGAATGACCTCCAGCAGCATCACTTCCACTTTTTATGTGTGAAATTTAGATTAAAGTTCTAGTGTTGTTTTTGAGAGGCCAATAACAATTGTTGGTAGTCTAGGACAGGGGTCGGCAACCCGCGGCTCCGGAGCCGCATGCGGCTCTTGAGTGCTCCTGGAGTGGCTCCTGGAGCCTTTTCAAAAATGTCTGAAAATGGAGTGGGAGGGCTATATTTTATTTCTAGTTTGAATGTGGTTTCTGTAGAAGGAAAAAACAATCTTTACGTTTTTAAATGCTGTAAAAATATGTATAAGTAATATCTAATTTCAACATTTCTGTCAACGTAGTGCGTCATATCCTATGACGCGCGGTCACGCGGCCCCGCCCCATGTGGCCGCTGCTGTAAACAAACCGGCGAGTGTGCATCATAGACTGTAAGTGCACATGGATCCCAAAGCTAAAACGAGAAAGAGTCGATAACAAGACTGGACTAAGAATGAGAATGAACATTTTCTTTCAGTCAAAGAGGAAGGACTGCTTCATGTTTGTAATGAAAAGTTTTGTTGCAACACGAGGAACAATGACGCGCAAAACGACGTAAACGGTGATTAAGTGAAGGATTCATTCATCAAAAATTCAGAGCACCTATTTTCAGACTTCAAAACCTTCTCAAAGACGGTGAAAGAAAAGGCCATTAAGGATTTTTAATTCAGCTCCAGCAAACTTCAGCCTGTGACGTGATGGATATGAGCAGACAGTGATGCAGGTATGAGACCTCTGAGCCCAAAGCAGATTTATTTACTGTATTTCTACAATTGCATGAAGGCAAACAAATGGAAGTTAAACTAAAGCAGAGTTGTCACGTGTTGCGTCATTCACGACACGCGTGGTGCGACACGCTGCAGTGAAAATACACATTTGATAATCATGAATGATTATTATGTATTTGTAGCCTTTACTTTGTCATTTAGATATTAGGCTAATATAGCTAATACATCTTGCGTCCTGTGTTACCTTCATAAAAGCCTTATACAAGGCTGTTATTTTTTTGCGGCTCCAGACAGATGTTGTTTTTAGTTTTTTTGTCAATTATGGCTCTTTGAACATTTTGGGTTCCCGACCCCTGGTCTAGGAGGTCAATAACCAGTGAATATATACAGTAAACAGATCTGATAATCATTTGGAGAATAAATTAAAATATTGACGTCATAATTTTGAATAATAGAAGCTCCAACAAAGAAGGAAAGTTAAAGTAGTACTAGAATTTAATATGCTGCTATCCAGAATATATAACTACAATGTGTTTGTAATATTTCGGGTGTTCATTTTGACATGTTCAGATGAATTATGTTAAAAAAACGGCTGTGAAGTTGCACTTTTTCACTTCCGCATAGGGGGCGCCAAAATGGCGGCGATGACGTAGGAGAATGACCTCTCACAGCAGCGGACAGCAGTCTGGGCTGGAAACTGTTGGAGGTTTCACTGTCATCTGAACAAGGTATAGACATATTTTCATCCGTTTTGTACATAATAGTGTGCAATTCTTTTAACCTTTTAGCCTTATTTGTGAGATTCAAGCTAATTAGTGTTGGGCAAGTTAGCTAACTCTACTTGATGACAAGGCTAATATTCGTTTTTACATTATGCCAGTCTCACTTTGGTTGCCTTAGATTTATTTACCACAATGTACAGTGCCTTGCGAAAGTATTCGGCCCCCTTGAACCTTTCAACATTTCGCCACATTTCAGGCTTCAAACATAAAGATATAAAATTTTAATTTTTTGTCATGAATCAACAACAAGTGGGACACAATCGTGAAGTGGAACGAAATTTATTGGATAATTTAAACTTTTTTAACAAATAAAAAAACTAAAATATTATTCGGCCCCTTTACTTTCAGTGCAGCAAACTCACTCCAGAAGTTCAGTGAGGATCTTTGAATGATCCAATGTTGTCCTAAATGACTGATGATGATAAATAGAATGCACCTGTGTGTAATCAAGGCTCCGTATAAATGCACCTGCTCTTTGATAGTCTCAGTGTTCTGTTTAAAGCGCAGAGAGAACCATGAAGACAAAGGAACACACCAGGCAGGTCCAAGATACTGTTGTGGAGAAGTTTAAAGCCGGATTTGGATACAAAAAGATTTCCCAAGCTTTAAACATCTCAAGGAGCACTGTGCAAGCAATTATATTGAAATGGAAGGAGTATCAGACCACTGCAAATCTACCAAGACCCGGCCGTCCCTCCAAACTTTCATCTCAAACAAGGAGAAGACTGATCAGAGATGCAGCCAAGAGGCCCATGATCACTCTGGATGAACTGCAGATAACTACAGCTGAGGTGGGAGAGTCTGTCCATAGGAAAACAATCAGTCGTGCACTGCACAAATCTGGCCTTTATGGAAGAGTGGCAAGAAGAAAGCCATTTCTCAAAGATATCCATAAAAAGTCTCGTTTAAAGTTTGCCATAAGCCACCTGGGAGACACACCAAACATGTGGAAGAAGGTGCTCTGGTCAGATGAAACCAAAATCGAACTTTTTGGCCACAATGCAAAACGATATGTTTGGCGTGAAAGCAACACAGCTCATCACCCTGAACACACCATCCCCACTGTCAAACATGGTGGTGGCAGCATCATGGTTTGGGCCTGCTTTTCTTCAGCAGGGACAGGGAAGATGGCTAAAATTGATGGGAAGATGGATGGAGCCAAATACAGGACCATTCTGGAAGAAAACCTGTTGGAGTCTGCAAAAGACCTGAGACTGGGACGGAGATTTATCTTCCAACAGGACAATGATCCAAAACATAAAGCCAAATCTACAACGGAATGGTTCACAAATAGACGTATCCAGGTGTTAGAATGGCCAAGTCAAAGTCCAGACCTGAATCCAATCGAGAAACTGTGGAAATAGCTGAAGACTGCTGTTCACAAACGCTCTCCATCCAACCTCACTGAGCTCCAGCTGTTTTGCAAGGAAGAATGGGCAAGAATCCCAGTCTCTCGATGTGCAAAACTGATAGAGACATACCCCAAGGGACTTGCAGCTGTAATTGCAGCAAAAGGTGGCGCTACAAAGTATTAGCGCAAGGGGGCCGAATAATATTGCACGCCCCACTTTTCAGTTTTTGATTTGTTAAAAAAGTTTAAATTATCCAATAAATTTTGTTCCACTTCACGATTGTGTCCCACTTGTTGATTCTTGACAAAAAATTAAATTTTTATATCTTTATGTAGCAAGAAGCCAGAAATGTGGCGAAATGTTGAAAGGTTCAAGGGGGCCGAATACTTTCGCACGGCACTGTATATATATATATATATATTATATATATATATATATTTGAGCACCAGGACGATAGAGGCCCAGATATACGACACCAGACAAGACCCAAGGTGTCGGTTGTGCTAAGAGGCACCTGAGACGATCCAACGCATAACTGCAGGGTGCAAGATGCTGCAGGGAAGGCCTACATGGAACGCCATAATCAAGTGGCTGGCATAGTGTACAGAAACATCTGTGCAGAGTATGGGCTGAAAACTCCAAGGTCTAAGTGGGAAACTCCTCCAGAGGTGGTGGAGAATGAGCGTGCGAAGATCCTGTGGGACTTCCAGATACAGACCGACCGAATGGTAATGGCGAACCAACCTGACATCGTGGTGGTGGACAAAGGGCAGAGGACAGCCGTGGTGGTGGACGTGGCAATTCCAAGCGATGGTAACATCAGGAAAAAAGAACATGAAAAGCTCGAGAAATTCCAAGGGCTCAGAGAGGAGCTGGAGAGGGCCAGGAGGGTAAACATGGGGAGGCTGCTTTTCAGATTCATGCTGCTAAAATCTGGAACAATCTTCCTGAAGATGTGAGACAGGCCTCCTCTCTGACAATGTTTAAAACCAGGTTAAAAACGGTTCTGTTTAGCTGTGCATACAACTGAGGGATTTTATAATTTTATCTTCCTTTTTAATGTTGTGATTATTTATGATTTTACTGCTTTCTTGTTTTGTTCAGCACTTTGAGTTGCCTTGTGTATGAATTGTGCTATACAAATAAACTTGCCTTGCCTTGCCTAAAGGTGACAGTAGTGCCCGTGGTGATCGGTGCACTCGGGGCAGTGACCCCGAAGCTAGAAGAGTGGTTACAGCGGATCCCCGGAACAACCTCGGACATCTTGGTCCAGAAATGTGCAGTGCTAGGAACAGCAAAGATACTGCGCAGAACCCTCAAGCTCCCAGGCCTCTGGTAGAGGACCCGAGCTTAGAGAGGGATAACCGCCCGGGACGGGCCAAAGATGAGCATTCTTTTTTTTATATACATACACCAGCGAGGGGTGCACGCGCACGTGGGTGTAAACAAAGGTCCTTCTATACGCTATCTTGTGAACAAGAGTTTAGACGCCTACAAGTATTTTTTTAACACAAATCATGTCAAGTGTGCACCAACCAATATCTTTAAAAACAAATTCACACATGCATAGGCTTTAAAATATAAAATTTTATTTAGTAAAAATAATAAAAAGCTCTAAAAAGGATTTGTGCCTCGAATTAATGCTGGCTGCTCCGTGTATTTAGCCCAGTGACGTGCGGTCAGATGAGGCAGGTGAGGCCCGGCCTCACCTAAGATCATGGAAAATAAAAAGAACAAAATGGGAGCAATAATACTTGGTCATTATATCAAGTGATTTGTGCGATTGTATTAATTCAATGTAACTTATTTCATTATTTTTTTTTTTTTTCAATATAGGTCTTGCAGGTTCTTGTATAAAATAGTCCAGATGGTTACTTATTTATATATTAGAATCTAATATATATATTTTTGAGTTTGAAAATCAGGTGTGTCCAGTCTCCACAATCCAATGAAATACAGATTGAACTGAAGACCCTGTGGTTAGTGGGTTGCCAACTTGAGAACAGAAAAATAAGGGACACCATTTGGGTGGATCCGGTTGAGCACTTTTTAGTCCTAATTTCAATCTACACAGGAATCATGGAATTTCATAATCAGTTTTTAGAACTTCACTACATCCAGTCCAGTCCCTGTGCTCCTCAGAGTCCGGCTTGGTTCGTATGGGACTAACATGTCACTAATATATATATATATATTAGTCATAAAAAATATAAAAAAGATACTTCAGTAAAAGCTATTAGTTTACAAAGCTGGTCTTGACATTTGTTGACGCTCCCTGAGACTTTCTCAGCGCTTGCAGCAATGGATTGCTGCAAGCGCTGGATTGCTGCAAGATTAGCTGAACTCGCCTATATTTGGGCATCGTCATCGAACCGGGAGGACCAGACGATGCCCAAATATAGGCGAGTTCAGCTAATCTCCCGGTCTCCATGAAGTCCCATGCGCTACTGAGCACAAGCCATTCATTTGAATAGGGCGCCATCTTGGATCACCGGGGCTTGATCCAACTCCATCAGAAAGAGCCTTTCTTGTTCTTCTACTGCTAAGGGCAGCTACAGGTTTGGCTAACATACATATAACATATTTTTAAAAATGCACTAGGGTAATTTCATGCTTCCAATGATGATATGAATGATAAGGAAGAGAGGTGAAGTTTAATTTTGATTTTAGATATTGGATGCAGTCGGCTGCAGCGAAACACGAGCGGAGTTTATGGAGGAGACACCCGTTTTGTTTTACTTTTTAAAACTCATTGGACTTATTTACAAATGGAGGATTACATATCCGCGCTCAAACTATTATCTGGACTTAAACATAAAACTGGTCTGTGCAGGTCATAGGTAAGACCCATAACACACTTTGTTTTGTATGAACAAACAATGCGGGCAAACAATGTAGCCTAACAAATTGTGAATAAGCCGCTCTATAGGCCGTGTTGATTTATATGATATACATGTATATATGTACATATCCAATCACCAACCTCACCGCACGTCACTGATTTAGCCGATACCTGAGGCCTAATATTCTGTGATGATATCTGAATTTTTTTGAGCTATTGTGCATGTTTTTAGTGGTAGGGGAAACCGGAGTACCCGGAGGAAACCTACGCAGACACGGGGAGAACATGCAAACTCAACACAGAAAGGCCTGGGGGTGGAATCCAACCCAGGACCTTCTTGCTGTGAAGCACAAGCGCTAACCGCTGTGCCACCGTGCCGCCCGTCTGACACTGCAGATCCAGAACAGCGTTCTGAGAGATTCCAGAGTCTTTGTGAGCCGCAGAGGTTCACTGCTGATGAGTCCAGCACAGGTACCAGCATCAGGGACTTCAGGGTTTGTTCACTGATGGTTGTAGCTGTCCATGAAGCTCCTCTGGACACTGAGGCCTCTGTGGCTGCAATCCTGTTCAAAAGCACAGACCCTATAATGAGACCTTTGTTTCAGTCAGATGTTGAAAATTACATTTAGTATCTGTGCTAACACAATGACAACATGAGAGTTGAGACTGTTTCTCTCATTCTCAATATTTCCTCATTTTGAACATATTGAATCATGTTTCACCTTTTAAATGTTACAGACATTACAACTTCAAATTAGTACAAATCTATCCATCTATGCTGCATCTCTAGTATACTGTTGTTTCTGAAAGATACTCTGTTTTACATACATCATTTATGGGGAAAAATTACATTCCACAATTCTATTATTTCCAGTTAGTAGTAAAAATGTAACTATACAAAGCTCAAGTTCTTTAAACAACTAAACATTTGCTACATTTGATTGAAACAAGAGAAACTCAACGGGCATAACTTACCCACAACCTCCAAGAGGTGTTTCTTGGAGCTGGCAGGGCTGGTGGACGGAGAACTCTCTCCATCCATCAGTCGACTGTGAGCCAAAAATATAGTCCCACAACTCCAATGTTCAATTATTAAACAACTGAAATGTGTAAATCCAGTTTCTCTATGAACGGTGTAAACACCGGTGATTCGCTCAAACTCTTTGTTGATCGATATCGGGCAGTCCAAATTAAGGCCTGCGGGCCGTCTGCAGCCCTCTGTGTCATGTGATGTGGCCCTCTGTCCTGCTAACACAAAGTACGTTAGAGATCATAGACATAAGTTCATAGTGTCATCCAGCCAACTTCAGCTTCACCAATAGAGCTGTACCTGGTTGTAAAGCTCAAACCTCCTGAATCCAGTCGTTTATTTTCATATCCTGACATTTGGTTGTGATTGAATCACAATATTCCAGATATGGCACTGATGCAGTTGGAGAGATGTTAAACATTTCAGTCAACTTCAGCTCCGTCGAATGTGAATCAATAACGACTTGGCCAGAACCGGTGAAAACACTTTTTCAGTGTGTTGCAGGCCCCTGGACAGTTTTGGATAAAGTGGCCCTCTTACTATAGAAATAAACCATAGAAATCAGTGCCAAAATTAAAAACAATAACTGTTTTGAACTGAATGAAGGAGGCTTTTCTTCAGGTCAATAACTTGATAAATACGTCAATGGTACAAGTGTGTGTAACGCTGAATACAAAACTATTTTACTGGTAATATTCTATCTGTTATATAGAAGAGAAAAGAACTCACCAAAATACAAAACGTGTTTCCTTGACAGTAGCTCTGAGCACAGAAATCACACAAAAGTGATCTCAAAAATCACAAAAAACGTCTATTGTTGAAATCATAAAGTTTTGTAAAGCTTAAAAAGTGGCTGGATTTTTTGTTTTTGGTTTTTTTCATGAGTTTTTGTTTTTTGTATTATTTGGGGATTATGATTATTTACTTCCCAGGGTTGTTTTTGAGTTGTTAAGAGTAAACAAAACATTGCCCTTCTTGTCTACAACCTGGAACTTTGGGTTTGGCACTGGTTGCCTGACAGGAGGTGTAGAAGGCTCAGCATTTGTGGAGGTCGATGGTTGGGCTACAGTTGGTGTCACCGGGATACCAGGTGGGTTCTGGTGGACACAAACAGGGGGTGTACCATGCACTGGGGGTCGGCCAGGGACTGGAAGATGACCATAGAATGGAGGTTGACCGTAGCACTGAGGTTGACCGTAGCACTGAGGATGACCATAGACCGGAGGTTGACCATAGGTTGGAAATTGCCCATGGATCGGGGGTTGGCCATACATAGGAGGTGGGACATAGCCGTTATAAACGGGGCCTGTAGCATGAAAGTGTTTTTTTCTGCTAACGTTGTCTTTAGGGGACCAATCAGGGTATTTGGCCTGGTGCTCTCTCTTGAGCACTCGGGCTTTCTCAAAGTACGGAGCTTGTTCTGCCTCAGATAGCTCGCCCCATCTCTCGCCGAGGATGGTGTTGACTTCTGCTGAGTTCGTAATGCCAAGCTCCTGCATGATGGCTCCTCTCTGCTCTGCTCTGTAAATCATGAAGGCGTTCAGAGGTTTCTTGATGTACGGCCTCCCAGCGTCATCTGCATCCCGCTTCCTCTTCCTATTGTAAAAAATGTATGTGAAAGAAAAGTAACTTGATTTGGAAACAAACTGACTCAAGATGAGAACTATTAAATTGCTACTTACCTTGAAGGGACATTTCCAGCCGTTGCTTGGGATGTATAGAAAACCGGTTGCTTTGCCTGGAACATTGCTGGTCCATGGATCATCGCTGGACAATGACGTGTTGGTCCAGTGGAGGGGACAGGCACGAGTTTTGGTCCAGGGATCATCATGTATAAAGGGAGAGACGGTTGAGAGGAAGTTGCCCTGTCCTGTGGAGAGGCATGGGCCATTCGGGAGTAAGGAGGCCTTTGAGCAGGGTAGAAAGTCTTTCGTGGGGCAGGTCCAAGTGGACGGTGTGAGACCTCTCTTGTCGTGGCTGGAAAACGTTCCAGTGTCGACTGCTCCGAGTTGTCAGTTGCAGACTCGGGGGTTGAGGCAGGTGCAGGTGACCCATGCAGCTCACTGAGCAGGTCTGGTGAGGCAGGACCATCGCTGTGCAACAACTGGGCCTCAACAAGGGCTACCATAGCATCCAGAGCCTCTTCTGAGGGATTCATGTTGGATGTCTATAAAACAAACACATTTTACTACAAGTACTTGCGACCAGTTAGCATTTGGTAGCCTTTCAACAAAGTGCATTTGCTGTATTTCAAGTTATATTCATCAGTTTTAGCACTTAACAGACCTTATACAATACATACTTTTAATACATCTGTCAAATTGTTTTAAAAAACGTAAAACATTTTTGGGGAAATTTTTCAGAATTATATAGGTTTGAATGAGAGTAGTCAAAATGACGGCTCTGGGAGTTCTAGTAATTTCATAATTGTGGGAGTTCTAGTGTTATACAACTAAACATATGCTGCATTTGATAAACAAACTCACTTGGAATAACTGGGCCTCAACAAGGGCTGCCATAGCATCCAGATCCAGATCCTTTTCTGATGGATTCATGCCTGATGCCTGTAAAACAAACAACACATTTTGATAACAATGACATTCCAAACCTTTCTGCAGTTGCCAAATGAGGTCTACAATACTTTTAATAGGAATAGTATTTTAAAGTTATATGACAGTGTTTTCTGTCGGCTTGGCTCCAAATAACATCGGCAAAATCTCAATTTATCCTATCGACAGTAGCTCAGTTGGTAGAGCATTCCCCTTTGCGCCTGAAGGTCACCTGCTGCTGTGTCCTTGGGCAAGACACCTAACCCCCCCTTCATGTCAGCCTCCACGCATGTCGGTGTTTACATTTAGCGCTATTGTGTGTACCCAGGGCCCAAGGCTGGGAGGGGTGTCTATATATGTTTGTGTATTACGCATTATCGTAGTGCTGGCCCATCAAGTGTGTTTGTACCCGGGGCCCAGAATTTGGTGCTAGTCCCCTGCAAGTGACCCAGACGTATGGAGAGATCTGGTCCTTTATCAAATGACCGGGAGCTGGGGACCACTGTCAAAGACGACATATTGTCCCTCAAAGCTTTCGCAGTGCCTTAAACTGCAATTTATCATTTCAACTCTAGATGGGGGTAAAAAATACACGGTGTACTTTTAAAGTAGTACTAGAATTTAATATGCTGCTATCCAGAATATATAACTACAATATGTGTTTATAATATTTCGGGTGTTCATTTTGACATGTTCAGATGAATTATGTTAAAAAAAACGGCTTTGAAGTGGCACCTTTTCGGTTCCGCATAGAAACGCTAGGGGGCGCCAAAATGGCGGCGATGACGTAGGAGAATGACCTCTCACAGCAGCAGACAGCAGTCTTAGCTGGAAACTGTTGGAGGTTTCACTGTCATCTGAACAAGGTATAGACATATTTTCATCCGTTTTGTACATAATAGTGTGCAACTCTTTTAACCTTTTAGCCTTATTTGTGAGATTCAAGCTAACTAGTGTTGGGCAAGTTAGCTAACTCTACTTGATGACAAGGCTAATATTCGTTTTTACATTATACCAGTCTCACTTTGGTTACCTTAGATTTATTTACCACAATGTACATTGTAATATCCATAAATGCTAACACCTATTAACGGTTTAATTAGCATTTGTATCAATGATTGCATCACATGTAGTCTATGTTTTCAACTTCTGCAGCTTTTTGTTAATAAAAGTAAAATATTTATTTAATTCAAGTTATTTTGATTAGCATTTTTGAATATTACAATGTACATTGTGGTAAATAAATCTAAGGCAACCACAGTGAGACTGGCATAATGTAAAAACGAATATTAGCCTTGTTAGCATGTTTTATGATATCAAGTAGAGTTAGCTAACTTGCCCAACACTAGTTAGCTTGAGTCTCACAAATAAGGCTAAAAGGTTAAAAGAGTTGCACACTATTATGTACAAAACGGATGAAAATATGTTTATACCTTGTTCAGATGACAGTGAAACCTCCTACAGTTTCCAACCAGACTGCTGTCTGCCAGTGTTGCCAACTCCTCAGTAAGGAAAGTAGCTATTGGCTGTCCCAAAAGTCGCTAGAAGTCGCTAAATGACGTCATCGCCTAATTTGCATAATTTGCCATTTGCAAATAACTGTAACGGACGCTGTAGGAGAGAGGAATAAGGTCGTGGGAGAGACAAAAGTGAGTAAAAACACCCTAAATATGTTTAGAACTACAAATGTACAAAAATAATTTCAACATTAACAACATTTAATGATTTTAATGCTTTGTCTAGATCCACATTACACACATCAGTTTTGTCCTGTATTGTTAAATGTTATAACAGCAAATGTAATCAAAAGATTGTTATGTAGGGTGAAATTGCTAGCTCTACAACCAACCCTCCTCCTTTATCCGGGCTTGGGACCGGCAAAGTGACCCAAAAGACACACTCTGGCAGAGTTACTTAGGTTTATTTTTGTAAGTTTTTTTTTTTTTTTCATAGTTTGGCATAACAAATGATTTAATGTGACCCACTACTGAGAGAAAACAGAGTCACGGACAGAGCTGCCGCGGATGGAGTGGGGGGTAGTGGGGGGTGGCGGTGGTAGGAGTGGCCGGGGAGCTTTGGATGTGTGGTGGTGGTGGAGCTGGAGTTCAGTCTGCAGCAGCCTGAAAACTCCCTGTGCTTTTGAGTCTCCTCTCTCTCTGCTCCGCCCATAGACTGTAGCTGGGACTGCTGCGCAAGGCTACTGTGAGACTGGCCGCCTGTAAGTGCTTTGGGACGGGGGAGGGGCTCACGTTGAGGACAGCAGAACAATACGTGCTTCACGAGTCTCCAAAACACCAGATAAGTCGCCAAAACACCAGATAAGTCGCCAATAACACCAGAAAAAGTCGCTAGATTTGTCGCTAGTCGCTTTTTTGAAAAAAAGTCGCTATAGGGGTCTGAAAAGTCGCTAAATCTAGCAACAAAGTCGCTAAGTTGGCAACACTGCGTGTCTGCTGCTGTGAGATGGCCTTCTCCTACGTCATCGCCGCCATTTTGGCGCCCCCTAGCGTTTGTTAAAAGGTGCCACTTCACAGCCGTTTTTTTTAACATAATTCATCTGAACATGTCAAAATGAACACCCGAAATATTATAAACACATATTGTAGTTATATATTCTGGATAGCAGCATATTAAATTCTGCTGTAAAGTAGTACAGCATACTACTTTAAAGTCTAAAAGACTAAAACCCCTAATTTTGTGTGAGTCTCACCTGATGCGAATCCAGAGACGTTTAGAATAAGTTCTGAATGAGTTGAGCTCCAAAAAACTACAAGACAAATCGAACTTCGCAGAGTGAACAAAAACACGTGTTCTCGCCTCAATCTTCAAATCACAAATGAGCCTATCTGTGTGTCTGACCTATTATTCCAAAGTTGGGTCACCATGGAGACACAGTGTTCTATAGAACCATGACATGTTCTATAGAACCATGACATCACCTCACCATTACATCATTACACTTTTGTTTTAATATGGCCTAAATTATGGTTTTTAGCATCATGTTTAAGTCGGTTCGAGTACTTAAAACATTTAAAAGTGTTAAGTTACTAAAATGAGGCTCATTTCTCATCAATCTGCAATAAAAGAAAATATGTGTTTTTGCACAAACAGATCAACACAACAAGCATATTGTTCTGTTTTGCATAATTAGTATTGTTTATTAGTTAAAAATGTGTATTTGTTGCTGCTTTATTTATGATTATTTATGATTGTAATCCCTTGTGTGATTATAATTTTTTACGGTTTTTAACTACTTGTTAATTTATATATATCTTGTGCTCTTAATCTGTCTTTTTATGTTTACTTAAATTCTAATGTTTGATGATTTTATGCATGATGTTATATGGGTTGTGAGGCGCTTTGCGTTTGCTTGTGTCGGAAAGGCGCTCTATAAATAAACGTTGATTGATTGATTGATTATACAGCAAATGTAATCAAAAGATTGTTATGTAGGGTGAAATTGCTAGCTCTACAACCAACCCTCCTCCTTTATCCGGGCTTGGGACGGCAAAGTGACCCAAAAGACACACTCTGGCAGAGTTACTTAGGTTTATTTTTGTAAGTTTTTTTTTTTTTTCATAGTTTGGCATAACAAATGATTTAATGTGACCCACTACTGAGAGAAAACAGAGTCACGGACAGAGCTGCCGCGGATGAGTGGGAGGGTAGTGGGGGGTGGCGGTGGTAGGAGTGGCCGGGAGCTTTGGATGTGTGGTGGTGGTGGAGCTGAAGTTCAGTCTGCAGCAGCCTGAAAACTCCCTGTGCTTTTGAGTCTCTCTCTCTCTCTCTCTGCTCCGCCCATAGACTGTAGCTGGGACTGCTGGCGCAAGGCTACTGTGAGACTGGCCGCCTGTAAGTTGCTTTGGGACGGGGGAGGGGCTCACGTTGAGGACAGCAGAACAATACGTGCTTCACGAGTCTCCAAAACACCAGATAAGTCGCCAAAACACCAGATAAGTCGCCAATAACACCAGAAAAAGTCGCTAGATTTGTCGCTAGTCGCTTTTTTGAAAAAAAGTCGCTATAGGGGTCTGAAAAGTCGCTAAATCTAGCGACAAAGTCGCTAAGTTGGCAACACTGCGTGTCTGCTGCTGTGAGATGGCCTTCTCCTACGTCATCGCCGCCATTTTGGCGCCCCCTAGCGTTTGTTAAAAGGTGCCACTTCACAGCCGTTTTTTTTAACATAATTCATCTGAACATGTCAAAAATGAACACCCGAAATATTATAAAACACATATTGTAGTTATATATTCTGGATAGCAGCATATTAAATTCTGCTGTAAAGTAGTACAGCATACTACTTTAAAGTCTAAAAGACTTAAAACCCCTAATTTTGTGTGAGTCTCACCTGATGCGAATCCAGAGACGTTTAGAATAAGTTCTGAATGAGCTGAGCTCCAAAAAACTACAAGACAAATCGAACTTCGCAGAGTGAACAGAAACACGTGTTCTCGCTTCAATCTTCAAATCACAAATGAGCCTCTCTGTGTGTCTGACGTATTATTCCAAAGTTGGGTCACCATGGAGACACAGTGTTCTATAGAACCATGACATGTTCTATAGAACCATGACATCACCTCACCATTACATCATTACACTTTTGTTTTAA